ATTTTTTCCCCCCATTTTTCTCTTCTAATTTTGGGATACCTACGATTCAAAATACAAGCCTTTCTCATCTTTTTTTGTGGGAGGACTTGCACAATTGGTGGCTGACTAAATACTTTTTTGCCCCACAGTAAGTGAGGAATTGCACTATTAATGCCATAAATTTTGGAGGATCCATGAAATATAAGTACTTTTCAAAGTTGTTAATATGCTAAGATAAATAATATGGAAAGTTTTTGAGACAAAACACAAAAATGCTTTAGTTGTTGTGGAACTGAATACCAAGAACATTTCATTTAGACTTGATTCAGTGGATAGATTTTGCCCACACATCAATTTTGTATTTAGGTATGGTTTTGCTTCTAATTCTGAACCTATGTGAGTTGAGTTTTCAGCAGTTCTAATTCTTATCATGAAGAAATATTCTGATGTGATGAAAAAAATAAAATAAATGATTTAGTGCCAAATCTTGTAATGAATATAATTAATTTACAAATTGTATGAAATACTCCATGCACATTAGAACATAAGTCTATTCAGTGTTATCTTAATGATTATATATAGGTTTGTGAAAAAGATAGAGGAAGATAAAATAGAACAGAAAATTATAATGCTTTCATTTTATTTCAGTGAATGAAAGAAACAACTTACAGGATGAAAATAAAAAGATTTCAGAAAAGCTTCAGAAGATGCAGCAAAAAATTGAGTAGGTTTGTCTATAAGTATACAAATAAATCTAATAGAAAAAGTTATCTCAGAACAAATGAATCGAGCAAATCACTTGTATATCATACCAAGAAAAATGAATGGATGTATTTATGCAAGTTATTAGTAGTCAAGATCAGGTATAGGCAATTATAAACTTTGTGTGTGTGTGTGCTGGAAATGAGACATGTTAATGCCATAACCAGAACTCCATAACTTGATTAATAGGGGTAAGTATCCCCGCTCAGTGCAACATGAGACCCTCACTTTCTTAAAGGAAGAAATATTTGTTGTAAAGTGTTACTAAGCCCTGCATATTTTTTTTTTAAAAAAACCTCATCTCAGCACTTCATGTTCAAAATGTTCAAAAATCCCCCATTGTTTTCCAGTTGTGAGAGAAATAGGAGTTCTGCAATAAATAAATAAAAATAGAGGTTAGCTCCTTGTTGGGACAATTTCCTTTCCTTTAGTTCAGTCTCTAGTACTGTAGGGTATTAGGATGGATTGGGAACATAGCAATACTAAATTGTATTTACCAGATAAGCTAAGCTTATTTACAATTCTTGTTATGATTAAATGAAGTTGGAAAATGAACTCTTCTCATTTCTAATGACTTTTTTAACACTTGCATTGATTTACAATCTTTTTAAAATTATCATTTATATGCATGCTGTTGCTATTCTTTTTTTTTTTTTTTTTAACCAGTACAGTATCTCCTGCCAAGTTTCATCAGTTGCTATATGCTTCTTCCAGATGGTTCTCTTTGAAGGCTGCAGAGGCTGAATTGTTTCTCTTTTCTACTTTAACTGCTGTTGTTTTCTGAAGCTCCTTTCCTGATCATTTCCAGCTAGTATGGACTTTTATTCTTTAAATCTTTCTGATTACTTTTGTAAAAAATTCACAGTGCTTTTTCATCCCTCTTTCTCAGTCATCTCTCCAGGCACAGGGCCTTTCTTCCTCCCTAATTTCAGTCCTATTCTGCTACTCTCCTCCTTCCCCCAGTGCAGGGAGGGGCAGAAGAAATGGATAGGGAAGTAACCATTCAATGGTTATTTGATAACAGACTTTCCTTGATTCAGTTTCCAGGAAGATGAGATAATGGGGAAGGTTGATGTATTTAGCCTTTATTTATATTGTTTTTCTATGCTTTTCTTAGGGAGCAAGAGCAATATCTGGAAGGGATTATTCCAGATTCACCAGTTAAGTCAGTGTCACTTTCAATGGTTAATCGAATGCGTCGAAAACGAGAAAATAGGCATGTCCGGTACACAGAACAAAAGTGCACAGATTTGGAAAAGAAGGGAAGAATCCATGGTATAGTTTTTAATAATTCCTTCCCCTAAAGTAGTTGTGAATAATTGTAATTTCAAGAATAACTAGACAGCCCGTGACCTGTTGGATCATCGTTTCAGAAATATTTCATTACCAGATTCCTCAATGCCTTCAACAGTGACAGAACTTCTAATGTACTGCTTTCACTGGAAAAGTTTTTAAAAATTCAGGGAGATATTCAGAGATGTATCTGCCTTGCAAATAGCCCATGTCATTCATATTAAACTGTATAGCACAAACATCAGGAATTGGTCACAAGAAATGTTTTATGACATTTAGTATTATGTCATAAAATGTTTTATGCTAATTTTTATGTCATAATGTTTTATAAAATTTGCCAAATTTCAATTCTGTGGGAGTCATGGGTCCCAGATTTTGGACACATTCTGTAAGTTGCCCCATTTGAGGTACCTTGGTTCAAAAATTGTTGGCCTGTGATGCACCATTTTGCCCAGTTAAAGGTTACAAATGGACCCGAGAGCTTTAGTAGTATATAGATAAAAAGCAATATTAATTGGTGCCCCTTTGTTGCCTGTTAAACCAGATCAATATTGGAACCCCTTGTCCATATTAGCAAATTAATATCTTCAGAAATAGGCATTCAAATTTAAGTAGTTCAGATAAGCAGTATTCAAATGATATTTTCAGTAGTTTAAGCATCTGTATCCTTTAAATAATATGAGTATGTACCTCTTTCTGCCACATAGGAAACAAGTTCTTAATTTTAGCCACTTCCCTTCTTTAAGTATTATGTCACCACCTTGTGGACAATAGAAGGATTTTAATTTTATGATATCCAAGTTTAAATTAGAATAAAAGAAAATGTAAATGCTAAACTAATGTTTAAAATCTTTTTTATATATATATACACACACACACACACGCAGAGTATAGCTGTTATTTAAAACTATTGTGATTTCACTCAACTGTAGGCTGTTGCATGAAAAAACATGTTTTAAACATACGAAAGCTTTTAAAACCAAACTATTATTCATACAGATAGAGATGAAGATACAAATTGGAAGTAATAAGAGCATTTCTCTTACTATGTATATAGTTATAATACAAGGTCCAATTTTTGGAATGCTTTCATTTTTTAAACAATATTAATTCAACTCAAATACTTAAAAATATAGCTACGTATCTATTTTATTTTAAAACGATAACTTGGACACATACTGTACATTCAGTATTAGAGCTCTTATGATGTACAACACAATTATCTCTTCACCTTTTAAACTGCATATTTTTCTTCTTTGGGATATTCTAGTTTCTGTTCAAATGTGCTTGTGTATAATTTTGTTTTTTAAATATATAATGGGTTTGGAACAGTTTAGCTTCAGTTTTAAAGAAAAAAAATGTCTATTGTTTTTATGCCCTCCTTCTATTCTTGAAAGCATCTGGTTGGCCATTGACAAAAGCAGAATAGTTATTATATATTAATGTATATTCAAAATTCAGTATTATATAGAAATTTCATTGTATATCACTGTACATACCTGCCTAACTTGGACGTTGCTAAACTACACTAAGCTGGTCTTTGGTCAGTGTCTTTTGTTCAATACCCAGGTCCTCAATCCTTAAATATTCTCTAATTTTTAGGCCTGCATACTTCAAGTGCTTCTAAATAAATGCATTTTTTCCTAGTATTCTGGATAGGGAGTGACTTTTTTAACAACACAGTTTAATGGCTAATCAGAATATGGAAACCAATTAAAATCTACAACCGTCTGCCTACCTCTGACATCTAAAAGCCAGTCAAGACAAAGAGCACCACTCTAATGGAAATCCACAGTGTTCAGATTGTTTCATAGAATTTTCAGTAATTCATACAAAAATCTTTTGTGGGGATTTTGAATAGATAGTTGTATTCCAGTATTTCAGCAATAATGTGTTGAAGCACATAGTGAATTTGTAGCTGATCTGAAATTTGAATCAATAAATCTAGTTCATACTCAGCTGTTTTGCTGACCTATTTACATATAAGAAATGCTTAAACTCTCTCAGAGAAAATGGATTTTGTGCATTCAGGTCTAGTCAGCTTTTATTTATCTGTTTGTTTATTATTTCAATGTCGAGGTGGCCTGACTTCATAGCAGTTCTGGGGAGCTTACAGATAGAAATTGAAAGAAAACAAAATATATTAAGAAGAAAAATAGACAGCTAACCAGAAACCAAAATCAGTTAGAATCAGAGGACATCAGATATTTAAAAATAAACATTTTCTATAAATATTTAAACACAAAATGTGTATTTGATTTGATTTTTTTTTCTTTTTAGAAGTTGGAAATATCCTATCGTCATCCACTCAAAAGCATGTTTCTTCTGAAGAAGAAATATTGGTGGCAGATACATGTGATTCACAGTTGTCCACAGATTCAAGTAAATATAGCCAATTTTAGCATTATATATTTAATAACAAGGAAAGGAATTGTTTTAAAAGAGATCTTCCTATAATATTTTTTTGGTCAGAAAAGAAGCAATAGTTCATTCTTGAACTGTTTCTGAAGAAGCAGATGGAAAACTAAAGCAGTTATATCTTTATATAGGTTAACTATTCTTAGCTTCATTTTTCATCTGCTACCAAGCTTGTCTGTTTTTTTAAAATGAGCATTCAACTGCGTAATATTGGAAGCATGTTATTTTCTGGTATAACTTTTCAGATTTTCTTTTTACAGAATATCAGATGTTCATCAACAATTAATTAATATCAAGTAGACGATTCAAAGCAAATGGGTTAGAAATGCTTTAACATACTGGGTATATTTAATTAACCATTGAGCTATATGGCTTTGCAAAAATAACTAAAGTGTACACTAGCCCTGTCCAAACTAATGCCTTCGACTTTTACTGAAATATAACTACTATAATTCTCAGCCAGAACAACCATGTTGCCAAGCAATTATGACATGCTTTTATATCTGGGGGGTACTAAGTTAGAAAAGACTGCCACAGAAATTTAATATGCACATGTTTTAATGTCAATAAATTCCAGCAAATACAGTGGTACCTCGGGTCACGAACGCTTCTGTTCATGACCAATTCGGGTCACGAACAGCCCCGTTCGCCAAAAATTTTCTTCGTCCCTGAACTCTGCCTCCGGGGGCGAAAAGAAACCGCG